TTTTTTTAAAGATGCTGTCAAAATAATAATTGCTACAGTGTTCTACAGGGTGTTACTTTAAGTAACCTACAGCTCTTTGCTATTGTTTATGAAGGTCCACTCCAAGATGCAACAATATGCTGGAAAATTCATTGGCCAAGGCGATTTAAAGTAACTCAAAACAGATAATAGATGACCATTAAGTTTAGTTTTTATTTCTGTTAATTATGAAAAAAATCCAAATTTATGGTATTAAATCTTCTGCGTATTTACCATCCCTGAAAGCAAACAATTAAATATCAGTGGGAACTCCTTTATAAAAGGATTTACTACCTGTGAATTTCTTAATAATAATTCATTTCTCTCCTTTCTTTTTTATAACTTATAACACATGACAAAATCCATGAAATGTAATTCATGAGGGATAATACCGTCTGAGTTAATGAAATATCTGAATTATTGATTACCAGTAAAAATTCACAGTACACAGTTACCCAAGTATACCACCAGGAAACCCTAGCTTTGAGCCGATGTCAACCAGTGGGACGGACAGGTTCTGTGGGTATCCTGATACTATCCTACTTTTCATTCCAGGTTTTAATAAATGGGCAGATTGGTTCCTTTCCTAGTGCCACATTTTGTCCCCCCTTCTTAGGGTATGTATGCAAAAGATTATACAACCATAAAAATTCAAGACAATGCTTATACTTTTTGATGGTTCATCTGCCTCTATAGATCTGATTTGCCTGCTGTATACGAGAATATTAATGAACCCAATAAGCCCTCCTTTCTTGGAAAATTAAATATGTATACCAGAGGTCACACTTTTATTATGGGAAGAAGGTGTATATGAACCAAGAAAGCACTGGTTTTTCTAGAGGGAAATGCATGTGTGATTTCACATGGAAAATCCATTTCCAGTTACCTAGCATTCTAAGTTTGGGGACAGCTGGGTCAGAAGAACCAAGCTCCCTTGGACTCACTTACCAGAGAGAGTGAATGAGTCATACTCTCCATAAATGTGGTTTGGATTTTATGGCGCCCTGTTAACTTGTTTCAAATACTGATTGATGGGTCCTCTGACAAACACACTGAAATGTGATCCAAACAGTAAGAACTTGTTCTGATTACCAAATCGAAGGACAATCGAACAGTGACATTTGTGATTTATTGTTGTGTTTTATTTCCTGGCACTCACTTTAGCGATGAGGTGATCTTTGTTTGTATGTACTATGAGAACAATCCTTTCCCATGGATGTTTAAGAGCGTGTTTATTTTGTATAATAACTTCAATGTTATGAGTTCAGCTAAGCTTACTATGTGGTGAAGTGTTGTTGAGTGTATGTTACACGTGGTTTTGTTTTTGTTTTCATTTTAATCATGGCTAAAGAAAAGACAGAAAATAAATTCAGATTATTTTCTTCACTAATTTTTCAAAACACACAAACCAAGTTGATACTCAGAGCCAGAAGAGCAAAAGGTTATGAACATAGCCTATGGTGCCAGTAAGAGCTGCTTCAAATCCTGGGTCTGTCACTCACTAGATGTGTTACAACACGCCAGGTACCAAACTTTTATAAAGTTTAGAAAACTTTTCTAAAGTTTATAGACAGTTCCTTGTCTATAAAATGGAGATACTAAGAGTCTGTGCTCTATAGAATTTTTCTTGGCAAACAAATGAGGGTAAAGCAATTAATAAAATACCAGGCATGTATTATGCCTCAATAAACATTAGTTATTACAATATTTTTTTTTTTTGGTTAAAAGTAATGACATAGCATGAATATCCTTTGGGCTAGTAGTGAACCAACCAACCAAACAAACAAAAAAACAAAAAACAAAAACAAAACAAACAAACAAAAAAGCCAATGTATTTGCCAAGAAAATGTAGAGAGAAATGTTAAGAAGTTTACTGAAGAATGATTACAGAAAATGGACCCTTAGCAAAATTAATCTTTTCACCTGAAATTGTAAATGAAAGAGCTGAGTTCTGAATGTGTCTTCTGGAAGAATCTTTCAGATTGTTCCAGTTGTAAAATTTGTATAAGAGAATGAAAGCACAGCCTTTTCTACTTATTTCAACAAATATACTTTTCCTTTGAAGTTGTACATGTGGAAGTCTTCATATCAAGGAATATGTTACAATTAAGCAGGGGCAATTACCACCCATTTATTTTGACCTAATATAGTTCAATGAGAACATTTTATAACAAATCTCCAGTGTAAAGTAAAAATTAAGATCAGTCCTAGTTAGTTAAAAGAAATAATAAACTTTACATTTTGTGGTTTTTTAGCAAAATTAGATATGAAAATTTCACTGTACATGTATTGGAGTTTTGGGTAGAAGCTTACACTTCTAAAATTACCATTGCAAAGACATTCAGCTAATCACTACACAAAGTTTTACAATTTCAAGGGACTATTAAAACGTATACCTCTTTGCTGAAAATATTTATCACTGTAAAATGTTAATGAGTTGGGAGCTCAATTTTTTAAAAGATTTTTTTGTGTGTGTGTTTATTTATTTAATTTAAGAGAAAGAGAGAGAGCACAAGCTGTTAAGAGGCAGAGAGGAAGAGAGAAAATACCAAGCAGGCTCCACGCTGTCAACACAGAGCCTGACACAGGACTCCATATTATGAATGGTGAGATCATGACCTGAGCTGAAATTAAGAGTCGAACACTTAATAGCTGAGCCACCCAGGTGCACCTTGGGAACTGAATTTTAAGAACAGTAAACTTATCTTTTATTTCCGATGATTCCTGGTACCGGAAATGAAATAAACTTTAAAAGAAACATAACCTAGTCTCTTTTAGCCCAATAATTATAAAACGGGATCCACAGCCCTGTCCCTAAAATGGACCAGATTTTATTAAATTGGAACTTTGCACTCAATTTTTCTAACTAGATCTTGGAATTACTAATGGCAGTACCAAACTTTAGAAAGTGAGTCTTTTCTATCTCATGGTAGATTCTCTAGGAACGCAACTGGTAGTCATAGACATGAGTCTATAATTCACACATTTTTTTTTTCAAATAAAAATCATAGACATATAATTCTATGTTCTAATGCAGTGAGCCCTACCTTCTGACTGGTATATATTCTCAAAGATTAGTGGGCCTTCTGACCTCCTAGTCTATCTCTCCCTTTACCACAACTTCTCACTTGAAGAAGAAAACAAAAAAGTTTCCAACTTGCTTCTTAAACTAATAGAAACTACCATGGATCTATTTTCTAACTATTTATTTTGTTATCTTCTCAAAAGGATGGACTCAAGTGGAAAATACACATTAAAAATACACAGCATCTACATTTGGAAGATGTCACTTGCAGCTGAAACCTCAGAGGAAAACTTTACCTGTAGACTATTTAAAATTCAGAACTTTTGCTGTTTGTATTTTGAAGCAGCTCACAGATAAATAATCACAGTTAACACCAGTCTACCACATATTAAAACTGTGAATTTTAACATTATCTAGTAAATAGCGACTGATCACATTTCAGTTGGAGAAACCAAGGTATAAAAGTCCGGGTGATTAATTAAAGAAGTGAAAGCAAGCTTTATTTCTTTCTGTTGCCCATAATGGATGCTTCTCAACCCCCTTTTCTTATTAATAAGTAAGGAGACAGTAAATAAACTCAGTATAAATTAGAAACTATTGTTTCATTCTAAAATTCACCTCTTCTCATAGTTAACAAGGTACTGTCCAATAATGTAAGAATTGATTCCTAATTTCACATGTCCAATAAAAGAATTAGAAAGATGAACATAAGATAAATTGGATGGAAAGCAACTGATGATGTATAGTTAAGACACTTCAAATCAGTCAAGAGAGAGAAGATACAGAAAACCGAGCCAACCTAAAGGTAGTGGAATTAATGTAATATGCTGATGCAGAATTCACCAAAAAGATTGTTCTTCATTACTTTTTGAAAAATACCATTTTTCTTAATTTTTTTTATAGATCCTAAGCAATTGTTAGACCATGGATCTTTTAAAGCAATTGAGACCTGTGACATTGCTGTACAAATGTTCATTGCATTAAGCTTATATTTTAGTATGTGCTTACATGGTTCATATATGAACATGTAACACAATATGTTACATATAAGAAAATATAATGATTGGATTTTATTATGATTATTGATGTCAATCTCTGGTAAAAGCAGTCTAAGAATTTTTTTAATTTTTATTTACATTCCAGTTAGTTAATATACAGTGTAATATTCGTTTCAGGTGTACAATATAGTGATTCACTTCCATACATCACCCTGTGCTCATCATGACAAGTGCCCTCCTTAATACCCATCACCTATTTAACCCATGCCCACACCCACCTCCCCTCTAGTAACCGTCAATTTGGTCTCTGTAGCTAAGAGTCTGTTTCTTGCTTTGTCTCTCTCTTTCTCTTTCTCTTTTTTTTTTCCCTCTGCTCATTTGTTTTGCTTCCTAAATTCCACATATGAGTGAAATCATGGTATTTGTCTTTCTCTGATTGACTTATCTTGCTTAGCATAATACTCTCTGGCTCCACCCAAGTCATTGCAAATGGCAAGGTTTCATTCTTTTTTAATTCTGAGTAATACTCCATTGTGTATATGTATCACATATTCTTTATCCATTCATCAATCAATGGACACTTGGGCTCTTTCCATAATTTGGCTATTGTAGTCTAAGCATTTGAGAAATTCAAAGCAAATGCACTTCTGTTGTGATGAGCACTGGGTGATGTATGGGATTGTTGAGTCACTATATTGTACACCTGAAACTAATACAAGACTATATGTTAACTATACTGGAATTAAAATAAAGTAAAATAGAATGGGTAAAAACAAAGTAAATGTCCTTGGGTGAAAGTCAAGGATAAACTTTAGCATGGAAAATATGCATGTGCAATATTACATTTCTCATATCGGGATTGCATTCCGTAAAAATAGCTAGATTAGGTTTCAAATGTAAATATTTCACACAAATACATTTGCATAATTCTATTTTTATCCTATGAATATTAATATCTATTGCATTTGTTTAAAGATGTTTATTTAAATTCAACTGCAACACACATAATTTTTGGTCAAAAGTATCAAGCAATGAATTTCACATATTATACAGAGATTACTGCAAAATTATAAACACCATGTGACTATAACAAGATAGGCTTGCTTGAAAATTTTAAATTAGATTAAATGAACTTGAAAGATAGGGACTAAATGCTAACATATGGAATGTAAGATTTCCAAATGTTAATATAGTTAACTTTCTTGTAGTAACTACACAAACACACACACACACACACACACACACACACTACTTTTATGTCTATTTCTAGAAGTAAAATAGTAAACTATAAGATTTATATGAGTAGAACAAGGAGGACATCTTGAGGTCGTTTCAGAAATGTACATTTTATTCTTAGATCCCACACACAATTTATGATTTAAAAAATAGGTCCTTTAAGCTAAATTAATATGTTCAACATAAAATGGGTTTTTTCTACAAAAAAAGGCAAGGTTTCTCAAAAGCACTTAAATTCACTTAAAAGCATCCTCTCTCCCTTTCCTGTTGCCATCTCTGTTTCTCTCTGTCTCTGTCTCTGTGTCTCTCTCTCTCTCTCACACACACACACACACACACATACACACACACACAATCTAAGTCTACAAAGACGTTATTTTTTGCTTAATCGTGGGTAAAATTTTAACATATGCAAAAGACTGTACAAAACATTTTAGCAAAACTATCTTAAATATGTTTCTACTGTAGCAAAATAGAAAGTTCTCACAAATATTGGTCCAATGCACTTCGTTAATCCACTGTTTATCTATTTTGCCATCCTACTCCTAGAAAAATAGAAATAACACAACACAATGAGTCCTGTATACATCTTTTCCTATGCACTTTGAGTTAAACCTGGACTCGCAGGACCATTGGCGGAATGTTCTGGCTCCTCAGGGCTACTTGTGACTTTAGCACCTTCATCTTCTTTATTTCCTTCATTGGCCTTATCAAGGGCATCAGGTGAACTCACACAATTAGCATCCTGTTTTGCTTTGTCCAATTCATTATCAAATTCAATTTTATCTTCTTGATTGTTGCTTTTCTTTATTTGTCCATTCTGGGCAGGATAGGCACTAGCAACGATATCGTATAGGAATTGGTATTGCTCCTAGTAAAAGAAAGAAGCAAGAAAGATTATGTAATTATTATAAAGGAGGTTTATGTAATTATTTGTATATCAGATGAAAATTAGCAAGAACTATTAATTTACTTGGAAGTCTTGGTCATTCTTACTTGTTCATTCCCCTCACAGGCCACGAGGTGTCTCATTTCCGTGACATGGCCCAAGATGCCACTTTTTGAGGTTAATGCTTCAGGAAGCCTATCCTGATCCCCATAGGTTAAATTAAGTGCCCTCATTTGTGTCCTTCTTATAATCTCTGTCATTTCAACTACTATACTGTTTAATAAATATCTGCCTTTTCCTCATGCTAAATGGTGAGTCTTTTAATGGCAAGAGCACATAACAGGCACTCAGTACACTTTTAAAATCAATATATGCAAGTTTAGTGTCATACATAATTAAAAGTTGCATATATTTGAGTGAGTAGCTAAGTTTATATGGCGACTGGTTATTAATTTCCAGATTGCCTTCTGCCAGCTGCAGAAGATCCATGCTTGATTGATTACAAAACTGCCACACTTATTATCCTCTCTGAATCCACACTTCTTTGCAATGTGACTTTGCAGACCCTTTCGAGAAGAGGCGGGGTCGATCTCCACATTCTTAAAGCTGAGCTGCCCCTGTGACTTGCTTAGATAAGAAAACACAGAGGAGGGCACATTGTGCCAGTTTCAAGCCTAAACCTCAAGGGGTCGTGCGCCCTGCCACCCTACTCCTTGGAGCTCTACCACTTTTACGTGAATATGCGTGGGCTTGTTTTTTGGAGACAGAGAGACCTGCATTCTACTCATCCCTGTTGCCAGAGCTAAATGCCAGCGACTGCCAATCTGCTGGTCGTAGAGATCATTTTGGACAAGCCAAGCTTAGTGGACATATCAACAGCAGCAAACCTATGAGTGAGCTTGGTCTAGATTGGCTGAACCTGACGTCATTGGCAGAAAGATTTCATTGCTCCAATATACTATTGAACTATAATAAACGTGTTTTTTTTTCTGCCACTAATTTTGGAGTGCTTTGTTACACAGCAGTACACATTAATACAGGAGTAAAGATGGGGGAAATTAGGGAATTCATGAGCGCTTGAAGAAATGTCTGACATGAATTGCCATAACAAATTGCTGGCAAGCTCCAGTTAGGTCTCTTATTTATATTAATGATAATTTCACGTGAATCGTCATGTAAAAAAGGAATATGAAAAAGAATAGAACAGTGACCAGAAGACAAGAAAAGGAAAAGAAAGGAGAGGATTGGAGAAGAGGGAGAGAGAAGAAAGCGTCAAAATAAAAATGCAAAACACATCAAAAACAGCTATAAGGTCTACTTACAAATGTGGGAACCATTCCTGGTCTAGCTCTGCGCAGAGATTTTACTACTTGAAAAACATCTATCACTTCTTCCGTTTCTGCACTTTCCAAGAGATTTAACAAAGCACAAAACAGTCCTGTTTGCTGAGATCCATCTCTGTAAGAGGAAAAAAAGATTTAAAAAGAAAATAATTCTACATTTTATGGAAAAAGTTATATTAGAATAAAAACTGAAAGGGAGAGATAGAATGCATTCTTCACTTCATGTTTATTGTAATTATAGTATTCCAATCTTGTAAGAGCAAAACATTTCTGCTAAATCCATTTTTCGGACAAACTTTTTTCAGTTTGAGATTATAATAATCTTATACTTAAAAAAAATAATTGTCTTAGGCTTTAAGCATATTTTTTCCTCTGTTTAACACCTTATAGATCATAATGTATTTTTATTTACATCTGAAGTTATTAGGACAACTTTCATAATTCCAATTTGCAGATGAGGACATCGAGATTTAGGAAAAAGAAAGACATGACTAGAAATCAATGAAACCAGAAATCCTGGACCCAATATTTTGTATATTATTAGACTGCATGCTTTTTCTCCTCTCTTCTGTTTCTCTAATGCTTTTACAAATGTCCACATTTCTGGATCAATAGAAAACTGATGCTTGGTGAAATTTTTCATTAAAAAGAGGACAACTCGATAATTTACCTAACTGTGAGAAGCATGTTACATTATAATAAATATTCAATTTAAAGAATATGTTATTAGCAGGATTTTATTTATTCAAGTCTTTTCAATTAATATACAACTTATAATATGTTTGCTGATGACAAAGCATTCATTCCTCTGGATTCTGTTAACACCTAATAGACTGGATCAGTGCATAGAAGCATAAATAAAATGTAATATCCATCCATCTGTTCATGCATCCTTCCATTCATTCATTAACTCAACCAGGACATATGACATTCCAGATTCAATGTTAGGCACTGGGACTGAAAGATGATATGACACTGGTAGTAAGAAATTTACAGACTAAAATGATTACACTATAATCATTTCTATCATATTTCTGTAAGAGCTATGCTGTGGGAGCAAACCTGAGAGAGTGACTGATTCCACAAGAGGCTTTCAGTGTGGGCCTGCATTTTATGTATTAGCATAAATAATCTAATGGGAAGTGTGGACCATGAAGTCAAGCATTATGAAGATTTTTTAGAGAATATGCTATCAAATCCCACCCACCCGCAGTGAATGAGGAGAGGCACATTCTTGTGATGCTTAGTTCCTTCAGTGGAATTCTTCTTGGGAAGTTTTTCTTTGAGAATCTGAATCATAGAGATTAATTCTTTGGGTTCTGGAGGAAGCTCATCCACATTCCAGTTATTATACTGGTACTGGTACACAGTCCGAAAATCTTTCCTCTAAAACCAGAAAAGAAGAGAACATTAACTCACGGAAGGTTCAGTCCCTCTAATAACTTGATAGTCACATTTTCTTCACAATTACTTTCATTTAACTCATCCTAAAGTTATAATAAAACATTATATACCTTTTGCTTTACTTTTACAGAGTAATGTTTATTAGTTCTTCTACCAGACCAATCACCAGATCAAAAATATATACTCCTGAAATTATTTATGTACCTTGGAATGTCTCAGTTCAAATACACGGAGGGTATAAGCTGAAGATTGGTTGGTGTCTTTCATATCAACTTGTATATCTCCATATGTCTGCTTTCCTTCTCCCCAGTACTGAGCACAGACTTCCTAGATAAGAAAGAACATGATTCAACACCTTCTTCACAAGTGTTCTGTTTGCTTTTTAACACATTGAGATCACCTCTTACTGTCTCCGTCTCTCTCCTCTCTCTCTTTCCTCCCATTCTATTAAGTTGAAATTACTAATTGTGTTCCAAAATTAAAAGTTGTCCATAAAACTCTACAATCTATCTTAAGTATCTTGGACATCTATTCTACAATACCTGGTGTTTGCTTGTGCAAATCAAGGGAACTGAGAAATACCTAAAGTGGCCAGGACATCACTGGAGTGGCTCTGTCACTGCTAGTGTAGGTCTTTGAGATTTGTTTCTCCCTTCCATACCCTTATTATCACCTCTTCAAAATTTATAGATTGAGCTGGTGTTGATCATGACCCCTGCCATAACAAGTCTCACTGTCCCTCCAGTGGTCTTTGAGGAAGGAGATTTCATCCTTTAGTGCTTTGTCGCTGTATCTTGATGACCAACACCATGAGCAGTTTTTTATAAGTTAACTGCAAATCTAAGTAAAGGGTCAGATTGAAGGGTAGGTGGGTCACAAAAGTGTGTTCTCTCTCTGCAAATGGCTCTGTACCAACTACAGTTCCACAACTTCCGACAACAACAGGCAGATGCCTAAACTACCATTTCATTTTCCAGTTTTCACAGTTTGATGAAAAAAATAATTGCTAGAATACCATGCTGGAATTCCTAACAAGTTATTACAAAAAAAAAAGTAGGGTGCCTAGGTGGCTCGGTTGGTTGAGCGTCAGATTGTGGCCTGGGTCATTATCTCGTGGTCCATGAGTTTGAGCCCCATGTGGGGCTCTGTGCTGACAGCTTGGAGCCTGTAGCCTGCTTCGGATTCTGTGTCTCCCTCTCTCTCTGCCCCTCCCCTACTTGCACTCATGTGTGCTCTCTCTCTCTCTCTCTGTCTCTCTTTCTCAAAAATAAATAAAAAACATTTAAAAAAATAAAAAGGAAAAGAAAAAAACCCCATAAAATAAAAACAACATTCTATGTCAGGGATAGGGAAACAAAGAGAAGACAGAGAGAAAGAGAAGGCATATAACTGCATGCTTATGAGAGTGTTCATTAAATAGGCTTTAACATAGGGGTGCCTGGGTGGCTCAGTTGGTTAAGCATCCAACTTCAGCTCAGGTCATGATCTCTCGGTTTGTGGGTTCGAGCCCCGCGTAGGGCTCTGTACTGACAGCTCGGAGCCTGGAGCCTGCTTTGGATTCTGTGTCTTCCCATCTCTCGGCCACTCCCATGCTCATGCTCTGTCACTCTCTGTCTCTCGATAATAAATAAATGTAAAAAAAAATTAAATAAGCTTTAACATATGCCATATAATGTGTTAGGTGCTAAAACTAAGTAAAATCTACTACCAGAGAAATTTAGATAACTCAAAGTATTAAGCAGAAGATCAAATACATGTCATAGGCATTAAGCAGATCAAAATGGACCTTAGGTTCACCTCCAACTATAGAATTTTATAATGCTGAATATTACATGAACGTAAAGAAGGCAGGATTTAGATAAATTTTTAAGGAGTTCTATCTAAACTCCTAAATATAAGGAGTTCATATATCTAAATGTGCCCTCTATTCCCATTTTGATCCTTTTCTAGAAGGATCTAGAAGGATCCTTTTCTAGAAGAAAAGGATCAAAATGGGAATAGAGGGCACTTTAGATATATGAAATGCCAGTAAATTAAGTCTCAGTGATGAAAATGTAGATTGTGTGTTAAGATTCAGTCAGAAAACCTTGTCCAGAATAGAAATTATGGAAAACATAAAAATATGAAGAAAATGGAAAGATATATGAGGGTCTGGTTATTGAGGGTCTTCAATATCAAACTGAGGAGTCTGGTTCTCATCTTGAAGAAAATAGGAGGAAAACGTGTCAGTTGCTACTTGTTTGTAGCAAGGAGCGACATAGAGACAGCTGTGCATTAGATGATCCACAGTTGGGGGTGGCTGGGTGGCTCAGTTGGTTAAGCGTCCGACTTTAGCTCAGGTCAAAATCTCACGGTCTATGAGTTCAAGCCCCACATGGAGCCACTTCAGATCCTCTGCCCTCCTCCCCCTGCCCCTCCCCCGACCCCTCTCCTTCTCTCTCAAATAAATAAATAAAACAAGAAAACAAACAGACAAGCAAAGTTGATCCGCAGATGGTGTGCAGTACCAGACAAGGGCCACATGAGAGATGGTCAAAACCAGACATGAGTTGCTATAGGCCAACACTGGGATGGAAGATGGTAAGGATGAACAAAGGCAACTGTGTGACGAAGGGTCAAAAACACTTGGGTATATCCAGCAAGTAATCCAAGAATGGCGAATGATATTTTATGACAGAAAAACAAAAAATATTCTTAAAAGTACAAACCTGGTCTCCGTTCTTCAGCCCTGTCAGCATAACAATAACTTTGACTTTTCTTTGGAATATCATCTGCCAAAAGTCGCCAATGGTCTCTTTTAGTGGTCCCTGAGCAGCAATCATCACTTCAGGTTTCCAGTAACTCTTTAAAAGAGAGAGAAAGAGAGAGAGAGGGAAAGAGAGAGAGAGAGAGAATCTGTTACTCTTGCTCACTGGTGAGAGAGCAGTGGCTTCTTAACATAACTATTTGGAAATATTGTCACTTAATTTGATATCCATGCTTTCATATAAAAACATTAAGATTCTTAGGTCCTAGAAACAATATGGTATCTTTATGTAAAATACTTATTTGGTTTATGACAATACTTAGCTAATAGTATGAAATCAAGTTTAGAACATACACTATCCTAACAAACCTAACAAGTTTTCCCTTCCAAAAAGTTTTAAAAAGTTAATGTGGTTGAAAAAGAAAATACATAAGCATTTCAAATTATCTTCATCATGTCTCTACCTAATTGATGTATTTTCTCAAACTGTATTATTTTTCAAACTAATATGAAGAGACATGTTTGTCATAAATTGTAACCAATAAGCATTGTTTTATTTTGTATCAACCCATTAGGTTTGGATATCTTTAAGTCTTTCAGTAAGTTAAAATATAGTATTAAAAATTAACACTTTTTTATCAATCAATATATAGTTATGGCTAAGCTCATAATTCTTTTATAAATTCACTTAATGAATGGCCATAGTAATATAGTAGATTTTTCAAAGGGTTAGATCCTGGGCTTTGGAAATTTAAGTACCTACCATTATAAATGACGCATTGATGTATTTACTTGTTTCCTCTGAGTCACTGTCATCATCAGAAGATTCATCTGAATCATGCTCACTCTCTTTGCTCATCTCTAGTTCATGTTTAAGTGGCACTCTGTTAAAGTCATCTATGTAAAATAAATTAGTAGTAAGTCTTTCTTTAAAAAATCAAATCTCTGCTTGATTGTCAGGTAGAAATTAGAGAAGTGACAGATTGCATCATGGAAATTTACTAATCTATATGAAATGAGACCCTACATAAAATTCAGTTCTTAGTGATTAACAGATTATAAAAATGCAATCTAAGAAAAAGAAGGTCACAAAAAGTTTCTTGGAAAAACATGGGATATACCTCTGTGTTAAACAACAGATAGATACCATAATATTCCAATATATCATTCGATCTTTGACACATATACTTTAGTTTCCCATGAAATATCATCATTCTGCTAGATATAAGCTTAAATTCATAAAGAAATTAAAGAAATGCATAGTTTAGGTAAAAACCTAATTTCTTAATTATGCAATTAACATCAAATTAATAATCTAACAAGTATCTCAGATGACTTATTATTTAACCAAGAAAATTATTTAGTCCCATAATTTCTCACTTTCTCAATCTCTTTAATCTATAATTTCCTAATCAAATGATCTGATTAGCTATATAACCATCAACTTCAGATTTTGAACTAATATTTATAAAGACTTCAGAAATTAACTAGGTCAACCACATATTGATATGATTTATCCAGCTGTCTAGTTTATTAGCTTGGGTTATATTTTCTCCATGCTAATTTTAATTTATGCCAATGAATAAAATTATAGTTTTATCAGACATTACCTACTGATTCTTAAATAACAGAATTCAAGTATGGAAACTGTACATGCATTGATCTGTTAAATTTGATGATTAACTGTTTATAAGGTAGTTTCTACCTACTGTCAATCTCCCAGATAGAAGGAAGGGATGAAGAGAACACAGAAAGAAAAAAAGAAATAATTTTTGCTACTGGCAATTACCCTGAAACAAATAACTGAAATTAACTAAAGATGAGAGAGAACTAGTAAAGAAGACTAGGCCTTTTTTTCTCCCACCTGCAGAGGATACGTCTTTCTGACAACCCATTTCAGAAATAATTGGTAGAATGAAAATACTGAATACAGTCTATCCTCCAAAGTCCAAAATTCTTTGGAATTGGACTTTCAAAGAATTTGTTATAATTAAATATAAACAGACTCTTAGCTATTCTCTACTGTCAATCCAATGTTGAAAATTTGCTTCAACGTAATTTGTGTGTGTGCATCTTACATTAAGCAAGTCCAAAAGAGAGTTTAATTTTATCCAATACCAAAAAAATAAATAAATAACATAAAATGAACTACATACATGGAATGATGTTAGAGTTCCTGTTTTTACTTTTATTTTGTTCTTGATTTCCAATGTGCTGTGTCCTCCAGCTCCTATACGAGGGAAGTCTCTGAGGGTAAAAAATAGAATGGAACACTCCTTTTAAGATGTAAATATTGCTTTTGTTTATTATTGTGACATAAGATGCTCCCTAAAGTATTTCATCGAGTTTTGTGAAATTTACATGCATTTCCCATAGTTCACAATTTTTACATTTGCCTCTGAATTTTTCCTTTTAATTGTTCAAGCATTTAATATGTTTTTTTTTAATTTTTTAATGTTTTATTTATTTTTTTTGAGAGAGACACAGAGTGTGAGCAAGGGAGGGGCAGAGTGTGAGGGAGACACAGAATCCGAAGCAGGATCCAGGGTCTGAGCTGTTAGCACAGAGACCGACATGGGGCTCGAACCCATGAACTGTGAGATCATGACCTGAGCCGAAGTCAGTCGCTTAACCGACTGAGCCACCCAGGCGCCCCAGCATTTAATATTTTTGACATGGAAATTTTGAACTAAATATGTACAATTATATAACAAAATATGTTTCCTACTAAAGAGCTGCTGAAAAGCAAAATAGCATGGTTTGTTCTTGTATAAGTTGAAGCACTATGCAGATGTTGATTATTATCCATATTGCAAGGGGTAACGGTAAATTATTTTTAAATGATCATAAATAAACTCTCCAGATACGGTATTCACAGGAGATTTGGCTCATGCTTCAAATAATTGATAATTGATTTGTTAATGCCTTCCCTACTGCTTTTCCTCTCACTCACAGTTGCTAATCAGTCAGCAAGACCTATCATTTCTGCTGGTGAAGCTCTCAAATCATTTTGCTTTTCTCTCTTTCTACTTAGTACAGTCCACTTGGATTTCTCACTTGGAAATGTCAACAGTTTCTTAACTGGCCTCTTTATCTTCAATCTCACTGGCTCTAATCCTCTTAAAACTTGAAACAGAGTCCACTGAGGCTCCTCAGAGGTCTCCCATCATTGGTAGGAAGTATTCAACCAATCCCTTTACTACTGCACAAAAACCTTAGGGAATGCACTCTTGATTGTCTGTCCCGCCTCACCCTTTGATAGGCCCCTTCCACTACAGCCAAACCAACGTCCTCAACTCCCCCTGGGAAGGGGTTGAATTGTCCTGAATCTTAGCAGATGCGCACATGTGTTTTCTGCTTGGACTGCCCTTTCCCTTGTCACTCTAACTTCTACTTGCCCTTTAGCTATCAGTTTAAGTGTCCTTTCTTCTGAAAGGTCTTTTTGCTTTCAGCCCTTTCTCCCCATTTGTCCTTAAATAAATATTTGTCAAGTGGATGAATAATCTAAACCAAGAGAGCTCATCATGTACAGTTTAGCAGGATTTTATACACATACAAACATATGTGCATGTGGATGTACATGTGAGTGTGTGTGTATATATATATATATATATACACACACATATATATATATATTTAAATATGGTTTGCTCTTTCAAACTAAATATGGCACCCTGTTTCAAACCCCATTTATTGCTGTGTAACTGAATGAATGAAAACCTCACCATTGAATACTAGGCCCCTTGAACACTTCCATGAACTGCTTGAAAGCTGATGCCTTGGAAAGTATTACAACACTTTTTTTTGCTCTTGTCTGAACAGTCACCCAGTGGTCTCTTCCCTCTAGTCAATACCCAGTATTATCGATAAAACTAATGGTTCGCCTTCCTTGAAGGCATGGAGGGGTTTTCATACCTCAGTCTGTGCTTGTTTCAGTTGCTACGAGTCTAAGCCTCCCAGGGCATCCATATTCTCTAGAGCTCTACTACTAAATAATTACCTAAATGATTATCCTAAAATACAACAAACTCAATGTCTTATATCCCATCAACCAATGTCTTCCTCTCTGCCCTCTGGTGCTCATGGTCTGTTGTCAACAAACTGCCATCCATCTTAATGCTTTTCTTTCAATAGTCCCTTCACCTTTTTTCTGGGGAGGGGGCAGGTGCACCAAGTGAAACTTGAGTGTCCCTTGAGAACATTGCCAAAAATGCAGTAGTTCTTTAAAAAAAAAAAACAAACAAACTGAATTCTCCCCTCATACCCCATATACATCACAGCGTGAAAAGATATGTGCTGTCGGTTTCTACTTGTAAACCATTTCTACTCATTTCTCCTTCCAAACACCCAACTACTTTGATTTTCCTGAAATCACGTCACCTTCCTTTAACCTTTTTTAGAGGCTTCAGGTACTGATTACTGGATCACCCCACCTCCTTTAGTTTCAGACTTGTTTAATTTTTCTCCCCAGGTCTGTCATCATTCTTGTTTACTTCCACATTGACAAGCATGATCTAGCCAACACTCTAGTCTCTTCACTTCTCAGCTTCTTTACCTCCTATGACCTTTCCCTCCACTCCTCTGCCGTCCACTTTCTCCATTCTACCTTTTTAAGTTTCATTTCAAATGTTCACTTAAAAATTACAATTTCAACCATCCCATTATTGAAGATTACCTCTTTTCTTCCCTGTCATTTGTTCTAGTATCTTCAGTTTAGCAACGTGCAAGTCTATCAAAACTTCCCATATATTGTCCTTAACATTTTCTCTATGTGCCCAATGTCCTTCTGTGGCCAGTTTGCTCTTTATCATCCACCACTGTATCATTCATTTGCAAACACCCTCAATTTCTTCACCTGGGACTTTCAAACTGTCACTTTAAGAAATCCTCTGTGGGGGTGGGGGATGGGCTGGGTGGCCCAGTCGGTTGAGCATCCGACTTCAGCTCACCTCATGACCTCGCAGTTTGTGGGTTCAAGCCCAGCATCAGGTTCTGTGCTGACAGCTCAGACCCTGGAGCCTGCTTCAGATTCTGTGTCTCCTTCTCTCTCTGACCCTCCCCCACTTGCCCTCTGTCTCTCTCAAAAATAAATAATAATAAACAAATCAAAAAAGAAAAAAGAAATCCTAGATGGGTTTAACTCAACTATCTGCATGCACAGCCCCTGTTTTCAATGTTTCTGTAGAAAACAATGAAACCAGATGACTCTCTTTAAATTCATGACCATAAATTTCAACTTTCTACTTTGATATAACTATTTCATATACTTTCCCCTTTCTGAAGCATAAGCTCTGCTTTGCTCTTCTTATTCCTGTACCCCTGAAAGTTTAACTGATGATCTCTTGCTTCATACCCTCTTTAGAAAAAGCAGGCAATTGGATGAGAAATGCCTCAACTTCCTATCACCAATTCTACGAACTAACCAACATCTCTACTCTCATCTTCTTTCTACCTTTATGCTTAGATGGAATAATTTCACTGCTCCCATCAGTTATAGTCTCTGGGTTACACTCTCTCGCTATGTCTATCTGCAAATCACTTTGACTCTTATGCCCAAAATTGTACAAAGGGAGCAAAATTGTACACAGAGCAAAACCCCAATCATATTTGTTCAGTGAAAGAAGTTACTCTTTCTTTTAGTGGCTTTACGTAAGAATGTTTAAATGGCATTCGTAAGTGTTTCCAAACGGCATATAGGGGGGCAAGCAGAGTTAGTGTACTGAATACGCTTGATTTATCAGCTGAAAGGGCAAGAAAATAGCAAGTAAACATCCTTCCCCTCAAGACTACTGTGGTAGACTGCTAGTTCTTACACGATAGTACAGGTCTTCTGGTGGATTGTGTTACGTGGTGATTATTACATGCTTCACCTCCACCCCCCACGTCATCCTTACTTTGAGCCAAGACATTAAACAATTCTGCATCCGATTAAAGCATGTTCCTGGTCTTGTGAAACTCTCCAATTTGACCAGCTTGGCAGTTCACAGACAGTTTCAGTAAACTTGATATCAGTAGTGAAAGAGAAAAGGTACAAAACATTTTGTTTGGACCACTGAGCAATCTGGAGATAGCTCCACAAATTCTTGGAATGAGTGAACTACATCCTAGGCTGGCTTTCAGAGTAATTGCCCAATAAATAGGTTAGGACACATGTATTTATCCTTTAGTTTCTGTCTACCAGCTCCAGCCAGTTAAACTTCCTAAGTAGTCATAAACTCCTCTAATTATTTCCTTTACAAACCCAAACCAGATGTAGTTTTAAAAGGTGAGATGCTACATTGCCTTTGGCAGACCAATTTTGTGGGTATTACTATTATTTTGACACTTTATTTTATACCAGCTTAATGAGAAATAGTTAAAAGGGGAGGGCTGGGGACGCATTTCTAGGCTTAAACAAGTCTCCTGCCTAACAGCTGTGTGCTTTTAGGTATTTCTCTTAAACTCCCTTTGTCTTAGTTTCCTCATCTGTACTCCATTGGTTACGGTGAGGCCCAAATTCAGGAATCATGCCGAATGCACACCCCCAGAAAATAGCCCTCGTGAAAGTTAACTTTAGTAACTATTATTATTGCTATCACATCATTACCTGGAATTCAGCCTCTAGGGGAGACGGCTCACTGGGAGGATCTCTTTTCTTCATGTTAGGTAGATATGGATGTAATTCAGACAAACTCACTTCCGTTTCCCCAAATTGGTTGTATTCCACCAAGGCCTGGTGGATCAAGATATACTGTGCCTACAATTTCAAGGAAAAATATGGATAATTAATTGATAACTTCTAGTCTTATGAATCATATTGAAATAAATTATGCATCTCTATAATTGTGCTCAGATTGGGACAATGTTTGTGAAAGAAAACCAATGCCCATAACATTTGAATAGTATGGAATTTGGCTCTCACAGTTCTCTGGAATGTGAGCAAATTCCACTTCAGATCATTTTTGCAGAAAAACAAATAGCTTGGTACATAGATTAAACATATACTATGTAGTGCATAACTTTTACTTGATTCCTAAAAATTAGAAAACATTACCTGTTACTTCCTTCAGTGACCATTATTGAGCCAGTGAGTCAAATTACTAATATATAAAACTATAATAAATATCTAAGAGGAAAAAAATCAAATTGATATTCCATACAACACATTAGAAAAAAAAACTTTCTAGAATCTTTTAAAATAGAGAAAATTACCAAAAAAACACAATACGCCAAATCCACATTTAACAACTCCTAACATTGTTATCATATTTGAATCCACTATTTTTAAATAAGTGACAAATTTGTGATAACATTCAAGCCTCTTCAACTACTAATGTTAGCTTCCTGAGTTTGACTATATCCTTTTAACCCATTTATTTTTTCCACAGGAAATAATTTTTCCTTTTGTTCCTGGTTGACAATCTATTTTTATTCTTCTATAGTGATACCCATGTATCTGTAAGCATTGTACAAATTTGTGTGCTTTTTAAAAATTGTGTAAATTGGGGCGCCTGGGTGGCTCAGTGGATTAGGCATCGACTTCAGCTCAGGTCATGATGTCACGGTTCGTGAGTTCAAACCCCACATCAGGTTCTTTGCTGTTAGTGTAGAGCCCACTTCTGATCCTCTGTCTTCCTCTCTCTCTGCTTCTCCTCTGCTTTTGCTCTCTCTCTCTTTCTCTCTCGAAAATGAATAAACATTTTAAAAAATAATAATAAATAAATTAAATTAAATGGTATAAATAATATCTTACATGTTTCATTTGGTGACTTTATTCACTCTTTGTTTTCATCTGAACATGTAACCAGATAGATAGGTACAGACTAAGATTATTCCTTTCACTGTAGCATAACATGCAATTGTGTGTCCACGTATTGTTTGCCCTTTATCCCATAAAGTGCTTCCTTTTTTTCCCTTTTGCTATTCTATCAATGTTGAATTTAACATTCTTTTTTTTTTAAGTTTATTTATTTATTTTGAGAGAGACAGAGTGTGTGTGTGAGCAGGGGAGGGACAGAGAGAGAAAGGGAGAGAGAATCCCAAGCAGGATCCTAGCTCTGAGCCCAGTGCAGGGCTCAAATTCACAAACCGTGACATGAGCCAAAACCACAGTTAACCGACTGAGCCACCCGGGTGCCCCTAATGAACATTCTTGCACGTGTTTTTAGTTATGCACATTTATAAGTGCTTCCCTTGGGTATATACATATATGTGGAATTGCTGGGTCAAGTGCAGGTATTTTCAATAATAACCATCCCTTACAATTACTGGTTACATACTTGTGCCAGAGACTTGCCTATGCATTTTCCTTGGATTACCTTTTTGTCATAACTCTATAGGGTAAATATATCACTGTGTCCATTTTACAGGTGACTTAACTGAGGCACAGAAACATTAGAAACTTGTGAAACTGTACATACCATTAAGAATTAACAGCAAGATAGGAACCTTGGAAGTCTACTTCAAAATCTGGACTATTATTCACTCTACTACTCCGTGTCCCTAGCTCTAATTTTATGAGATGCTGTCAAATTAGTTATCAGTGTTTTTGTTTATTTTTTTCCTTTCTAACATGTGTAAATGGTATCTTATTATTAATTTGTGTGCTTGTTTGTTCACATATATTTATAATCATCCTTCTTCTGCAGGACTTTCAGCCACTAACACGAAATGTTCCTAACTATAATTGGTGCTTATCAATTGATTTAGTTTTCATGAAATAAAAAGAAAACTATTTTCACTCAGTTGAGAAGAATTTGGATTTCTTTTAAGATCACCATTCCCACCACAAAAAGACTTCAGTCAAAAAGCAAAAGGGATAACAGTGATTGAAGGGGAGCACGTACCTCCACTTGAACCATCAGGCACCTCTGTCGCCTTAGCTTGACGACATAACCATAAACGTCCACTTTGTTCTCTGCCTCCAGGCCTTCTAGCATGGCGTCAATTCCAATATAAGTGCCTGTGCGTCCAACACCAGCACTGACAAAACAACAAACAAACAAACAAACAAATAAACAAAGTGAAGGCATGATCATGGCGGGGAAATGAAAAGACAACAGGGGTGAAGCAGAGGAAAGGATAAAAGTCTCTCCTCACAGACTGTTTTCCAAAACAGCAATCGCCAAAGGGAAGGGTGTTCTCTAACAGCGCAAGAGGAAGAGTTGGGACAGCCCTGGTGCCGGCCTTGGGAGTTCTCCATGTACCTGCAGTGCACCACAATGGGGCCACTGAAGAAGTTGCTGAAAGCGTTCACTCTCCTTCTCAGCTTGAGGAGCAGGTGAGGATCCTCAGGAACCCCGTGGTCAGGCCAGCTGGTGAACTGAATGTGAGTCACCTCTCTTCCGGTTGCTTTTTCTTTTTTCTAGGGGAGAGATAATTTTTTCTCTGAGATGATTTTCTTGCAAGCAAATTATCTGACATAAATAAGTGGGGGCAGGGGGGAATCCAGTATCAAAAACTCCTCATGCAAAGGTTTTCAGCCATTATTACATTTTTTCTTTCCAATTAATCACCAGGAGTTGAGATGTCATGCAGGGGTGGCATGCACTAACCAGCAAGCAATAACTTACCAGTAAGGTAAGCAAGGTGTGGTAAGTTTGTGGAAACTGCTGGGAACTTTCATGCTGCCATGCCAAAACCAAACAGCAAAAACACACACACCAAAAAATGGGAGTGTGGGTAGGTGGAAAAAGATATGAAGTAAAGGCCATTCTCACAGTTCTTTGAAATATTTCCACTTGGTAGGCCAGCAAATTTTCTTCATGTGAAGAAAGTCTGATTAATTGTTCTGTTAATGCTATACTTCTTAGCATTAGAAAGGGCAGCTCAGACTGTAGAGAGACAACTGAGGAAACTCAGCCCCAGACTACAGCTCGTATTTGTCCCAACTTCAAGATAATCACTACAAGATGAGTAATTCATAGTTCTCTGACCTGGTATGAAGAAGAACCACCTACATTTAGGTAACAGAAGAAACAACAAGACTTGGGTGGTTGTAATTGTCTGATGGGAAATGATTATGTTAATTAAGAATAATGATGAGACTAATCAATGCAACCAGATCTACATATTACCCATAAGTATGGATGGGGTGGGGGTCTCATGCCTAAGTCCATCATGTATTTAACCACAAACTATTGGTGGTGGAACCACTGTTCCATAGCCTTCTGTGGCCCATAGTAGTTAGTAATGCCATGGGAGCCTTAGAAGGCCTTGGAAGAAATATATAATTGAAAGGGGTTGTTTTTGCATCTTTAAACAGCTTTAAGATATATTCACATAGCATAAAATTCATTCATTTAAAGTATGATTTTTTTTATTATATTCCCAGAGTTGTACAATCATCACCACTATCTGATTACAGGACGTTTTCATTACCTACTCCCAAAAGAAATTCTTACTGATTACAGCCATCCCTCTTCCTGCTTCACCTCCCTCAGTTCCAAGCAATCCTAACCAGCTTTCTGACTCCATAAATTTGCCTATTCTGGGGACGCCTGAGTGGCTCAGGCGGTTAAGTATCTGACTCTTGATGTCTGTTTATGTCATGATCTCACAATTAGTGGGTTCGATTCTAACATTAAGCTTTGCGCTGACAGTGCAGAGACTGCTTGGAATTCTCTCTCTCTCTCTCTCTCTCTCTGCCCGCCCCACTCTATCTCTCTCAAAATAAATAAACTTTTAAAAAATTTGCCTATTCTGGATTTTTCATAAAAACAGTATCCTAGAACATGTGAGGACCTCTGTTTTAACTATTATCTAAAGCCCTACTGACTGTTTTTTTCCAAACTAACATTTTATCTTTACTACATAGTTACTGCTTTGTATTTCTTACAGTAGTCTTTAATTGTGCCATTTGTATATTCTTTCCATAATGGTAATTAATAGACCCGTAGAGAATAAGGGCCATTTTACCATTCATTCGATAATTCAGTCATTTATTCAACACAGTTAAAGAGCTCTTTTCTTTATATGTCAAGAGTCATAGAATTATAAATACTTTTGATAGGACTTGGACAGACAGATCCTACTTTCACCAGTGATTTAACTTGACCTGCTGGCTTGTGTTCTAACCCAACTCCTCCTCCTGTAGGTTGTTAAAAATAATTTTTCTTAGATTTAATTTCTCACATTTAATTCCATAATTGTATTTTTAGGCAAACCATATGAAAATAAAAAATATGTGATAAAACAAACTCACGTTTGTAATGTTCAACTTCTGAATGATATAATCTGGACACCTTTTGTGCTCTGTGATCTTTACCACAACATCTCCAAAAGTCCGTGTGCCCTCTTCCATTGACGGCCAGTATTCTGCACACTTGTTCTATATTTTAAAAAATATTAATAATTTTTTTTTCATTTAAACAAATGTATGTATTAAGACTCTTTAAAAAACAAAACAAAAATCATTCATCTGAAATTCTCAAAACATTCATGTATTCTCCTTTAAGTACATATACACCTTAAGCTGTGATGCTTGAAATGTATTCCATTTCCCATTAATGGCCCTGATAGATTTCCTTCATACTACATAGCCAGAGGATGATCTTCCCAGGCTTAGCTGCATATTAAAAGGAGATGTGCTTGGTTGTCAGCAGAAGTGATGTGGTTGCATGTGGTTAATTTCAGGCTGGAGGATAGGGAGGCTTTCACGCTTCCTAAAGTCCCATTCCATGAATTACCACGTATCTGCCCAAGGACAGTTTTCTTTCAAGTAGTCTCAAGTACTTGTGAAATCATTTCACAGAAATGCACTAAGCTTGTAACAATAGTGCAAAGAAATAGGAGTCAAATGTAAGTCCAGCAATTAAGCAGAAACACTTAAATTTTATTCATATATACATATATTTAGGTATGGACACTATTTTTCTACATGTGTAAAAAGTTCAAATCAAGTGTCATACTGATTAAAATAGAGAACTGTCTGTTTTTGTCATCCAGCACGTGTGTGTGTGTGTGTGTGTGTGTGTGTGTGTTTTGAAATACAATTCAACACTCTTTTCCTAACCCCAACCTTTACCCTATGAATCCTACCCTGTTTCCTTCTTCACATCGAGTGACCATGACAATGACTGTGGCTTTCTGTTCCCAGATCATCCTCCAGAAATCATCAACGGTTTCATCCCTGGGACCTAGGAAGTAAATAAACACAAACTGATAAGAAATATCTTCTTAAAAGCACTATGAAACAATTTTCAAAAACAGTGTTAGACTGTCAGATAAATTACCTTGTGCAGCAATGTATTTCCTGGGTTCTTTGAAACCCTGTTCAGAAAACACACAAAGGCATATCATTTACTGAACACTCAATTATTTCTTTATGTGCAAAATCATGAGTTAGAGGAAGTTAATTTAGATCCACTGTCTCTTGGTTGCGGATTTCTCAGGACATTTTCAAATCATAAGGGGGATTTTATTAACTCATGGTCACCCTTTAAACTGCACCAAACATGTTAGCACTTACAAACACCATTTGTGACCTTTATGTATCTTTGCTATATATCCAAAACAATTTTGAAAACTGGACTTCATCCTCATCGGGATGATGCAGCAATTTACAAAAGTAGTCCAGACATTCTTATATTTTATGTCCTGACAACTCAGAGCACCGTCTGTTACAGTTTAAACCTTCTTACAAGCCATACTGTTGCTTTGGGGATTTTTACTCAATTTCTTTCAATAAATCATTGTGAGATATCCCCACACATCTACCTTTTAACTAGCGCTGGGATAGACCACCGATTCCCTAGACTCCTTTTCTGCCATTGTAGATAAGAGAAAGAGTGACTTTAATTTCATTACCTACAATGTTTGCTTTTTCCACTCCTATTACCAAGGCAAAGAAGGAGGACAGAGGCAAATAAGATATTGTGCTAGTTTCTTCCAAATTATCTCATATTCCTTAAATTCACCTCAGCAATCAGAGAAGCCCTTCAGAGAGATAACCTTCGCCCATTAGATGAAATATTGTTACATGGGCCAACCTTCTCCCATTAGGTGAAATATTGTTACATGGGCCACAAGAATTCAGGATTAATGTTAGTAACTTCTTGAAACTTCTATCTCATGACATAGTATTATTTATACATTAGCTCGTTCAACACTTATTTATTAATGGGCTACAATATGTCAAGTACCTATCTAAAAGCTGAGACACATTTTTCAGGAGCACCTAGTTCTGCTGGAGACAAATAAGTAAAAGTCAATACCATAATTCCCACATATATTTGAATAGGAAATATAAGGGGTTTTTCTCAGAGATTATCTAAATCCTTATAAAATCTTCTGTCAATTACTTTACTTTGAAAAACAACGTTTGGAAGAAACCCTATATACTAAAATAAAGTTTATCAATGCTAATTGTGAAAGCCTACAGAAGTCACCTGCAGAATCAGTTAAAATAGAGGTCAAAATTATGGCACAGCACTAGTAATTATCTTTAGACAATGACCTCACATGTGTAACTGTTGCTTGTGATTATAAACAAGCCTTTGAGGATAATATTAAAAAGGAATGAAATAAGAAATGGTATAAGAATATCATAAGCACATGTCATTTGTTTCGTGGGATAGAGCTTACAAGGACAACAGCAAGCAAGGATACAAAATTGTCATGTATCAAACGAAGTTGATGGGAGGCAGGACATTAGTACAGGTTAAAGTGATGACTTTAGGGACAGAATACTTGAGAAGAAAAGTCCACCCCTGCTTCTACTTGTAAAAATGTTTCATAAATTATCTGAATAAAAAATATTCTTAAATATTTTTTTTCATTTTACAGAATATGCGTGTAGAGGATTAAATAGCATTTTTCAAAACTCATATCTACTCAGAACGTCAGAGTGTGAGTTCATTTGCAAATAAGGTCTTTGTGGAAGATAAGGCTATAGCCCTCTGAGGCTGGGCTCTAAATCTAATGACTGGTATCTTCTTTTTTTTATGTTTTTTTTTTTTTTTACTTATTTTTGAGAGACAGAGAGAGATAGAGAGAGAGAGAGAGGGAGGGAGAGAGTAGGAGTGGGGAAGGAGCAGGGAGAGAGGGAGACACAGAATCTGAAGCAGGCTCCAGGCTCTAAGCTGTCAGGACAGAGCTTGACAGGGGGTTTGAACTCACGAACCGTGAGATCATGACCTGAGCCAAAGTTGGATGCTTAACCAACTGAGCCACCCAGGAGCCCCAAATGGCTGTTGTCTTTATAAGAGAAAGGAGACACAGTGCTGTAGAATCACACAGGGAAGATCATGTGATCATAGAAGCACATTTGAAGGTGATACAGACACAAGACTAGGAAGGCCAACGATTGCCAGGAACCACTAGAAGCTAGGAGAGGCAAAGAGCAATTTCCCCCAGACCCTTCAGAGGCAGCATGTCTCTGCTGACACCTTGATTTTGGATTTCTTGTCTCCAGAACTTTGAGAGAATACTTTTATGTTGTTTTAAGCCATCTTGTTTGTAATACTTTGCTATGTCGGCCCTAGGAAACTAAGGTACCATGTGAATAAATAAATATATAAACAAACAAACAAACAAACAAATTTAATTTGACCATTTTACCTACTCCACTAAAAATTTATATATTCATGTACATCAAAATAAGCAAACCTCAGTTTCAATATCTTTCTGCAAGAAAAGCTGGTGAATTGAATTGTCTTATAGCATAGTATACAATTTGTCTACTATTTGACTGTCAATTTTTTTTTTTTTTGGCATTCTTCATATATTGCTGGTGGAATGTAAATCGGTATGGCCCAGTGGAAGACCATTTGGAAATATCTTTTAAAATTGCAAATGCATATTCTCTTTGGCCTAGAGATTCTTCTTTTAGTATTTTATCCTAGATACACTAAAACCCATTGTAAAATAGTAAGTCAAGATTTTTCATTGAACCATTGTTTATAACAGAAGATTCTAAACATGTTTAATGTCCATTAATATAGGCACTTATTAACTAAATCACAATACAGCTATACCATGAATGACTTATAAAATATAAAAAATGCAGAAATTTTCTATGTCCAGGGTCAGCAAACTACAACTTATGTCTGATTTTGTTAAAAAAAAAAAAAAAGTTTGGAACGCATTCACATTGTGTATGGAATTGTGGCCACTAAACTTCAGAGCTAAGTAGTTGTGACAAAAATGTTATGTCCTGGAAAATCCAAAATATTTGTTGCCTGGACTCTTACAGAAAAGATTTGCCAAACCCCGTTCTTGTAATGATATTATTGTAATGTATTGTATTGTAATTATTATAAGGATATATCCATATATATTTTTATTGTATCATTACTATATATATATATATA